CGAGGCTTCTGGCCTGTCTGGTCCCGTTTGCTGGAAATCGTGTCATTCGAGCGGCATTTACTGAAGCCAGCGGGAGAAACTCTGCGGAAGAAACAGCTACTTTCCGCCTGCCCCCCCGCCCCGCTTAAGCGGCTGTAAGCTCCGGTTTATCAGCAGGAGCGATGCGCGCCCCAGCCACGTCTGTACTTCTGCCCCCCGTGCTGCGCGGGCACCGGCGCAGGCATGTGCGCAGGCTGGAGAAATGGTCAGGCTGAGAACCAGCGACAGAGAGCTTTTAACGTAACACCGGGGCTCTCTAGCGTAGTTACTTGATTCGTTGTCATGTCCTGCTGCGTTTGGTTTACCCAAGTTCGCAAACTGCTGCCAAATTGGGGTATTTATTTACTTGTTGGGTTTTTTTTAAGAGTAGTTAATATAGGCAAGCAGTAAATTTAGTTTTAGTTTGGTAGTGCGCAGGCTTAAAATCTTAATCTGTAAAAACATTGTTAATGATATTTTACTGCTGACAGAAATGATATTAAGGAAATATATTTTTGTAAAACTGGACTGAGTTAATTTTATTTCCTGGTTGTTATGCCCTTGGATTCCCCCTGCCTCCCCCCGCCCCTGCAATCCAGACTTTATTTAAAAATGGATTACAGCTTGTCAGTCTCTTTTAAGCATTGTTAGTCCAAAAACTAATTGGCTCTACCTTTTAAAAGTGGTTACTGACGTGGGTAAGATTTTTATCTACAAGGAAGTAGCTAATTTAAATGATTGCAGCAGCTGGAGGTATTAACTGTACCTTGCAGAAATGTTATGCAATAGAAGACATCACTGTCTTGAAAGAAAAATGAACCAAAACATCACTTGCGCTGGCTTCAGCAATTCATTCCCGTATTAAATGAACCAAGTTATGGCAAATCTGCCCGGAGCTTATCTGTTAGCTCATTCCCTAATCACTAGAGGAACATAAACTTATACCAATTAAAGTATGTTTCTGTCGGATATTCAGGACACAACAGATAACGGCCTGAAAGATGCTGCTGAATGACTAACATCCCCTTGTCAAATGCCATACGTAACAAAGAATAATTTACCAGTTTGAAAAGTGGATTTGTAGACACCTCACGTTGACTAATGTCTCATGTTGTAGGTCATGCCTTCGTGCAGAGAAAAGTCCTGTTTGGAGTCATGCACTGTTCTCTTCACTGGTGCGATGCAGTCTTAGCCATTCTCTGACATGGGAGCGAACTGGTGTGATCTGACCATGTCCACACAATGAAACTCTTGGGACTGGGAGGAGGGCGGCTGTATGAAAAACTGTCTGCGGTAGACCTGGAACGGGCTAATGCCCAAGCTGGGCAGGACAGTAGTTGGTCCAGGGCAAAACTGTTACAAGAATTCCAGCAGAGACCTTATTGCAGCCTTCCAGTACTTAAAGGGGGCTCATAAGAAAGATGGGGACAGACTTTTCAGCAGGGCCCATAGCAACAGGACAAGGGGTGATGGTTTTAAACTAAAAGAGGGCAGATTTCGACTAGATAAAAGGAAGAAGTTTTTCACACTGAGGGTGGTGAAGCACTGGCACGAGTTGCCTAGAGAGGTGGTAGATGCCCCAACCCTGGCAACACCCCAGGTCAGGTTGGACAGGGCTCTGAGCAACCTGCTCGTTGCAGGGGGTTTGGACCAGATGGCCTTTAAAGGTTCCTTCCAACCCAGACTATTCTGTGATTCTGTGGTTGCTGCTGTTTTAGGAGTATAGCAGTGGGGAAGATAGAGGGGATAACACAGACGATACATAGTCGTGTATGGTTTAATGTACTTGAATAGTCATAACCTTAGTGTTTTCTACAGTGAATAATTTTTCAGGAAAGCCATTTGTGTGAAGTTCCATCGTTGTTCTGAGCAAAACTCCTCTCTCTTACTAACTTAGGTGGACAATAAGTCTGAAGAAAATGCTGCCTTATTTATTAAAGTTTGCTAGATATAGCCATCTTTGGCCATACCGAACTTTTCCCCTCTCTTTGCTTTTACTAGTCTGCCAATGCTCTTTGTGTCAGGCTTTAGTATATTGTGTGGTGGAGAGGATCAGCTGCCGTTTCAGGGCAAGCCCTTGCTGCCAGCTAAAGAGCAGGAAAGCACAGACTTTTCGATTACTATTAGATAAATACTAGTCTGTGATTAGTTTTTCTAGAGCAAAGGATGAGGGCAAGAGGACATCTTATTTTCAAACACGTGGTGTTTCTGTACAGTCTTCTTTGAGAAGAGACTTTAAAATCTAACTTGGACTTTTTACAGGAAGTGTTTCACAACATTTTAATTATTGCATGCTCCCATGCATGTAGTGTTTGGTACAGTCCTCCAGCTGGAGAGCACCCTGTTTTGGTTCTTCAATTAAAATGAAGGGCATGCTGTGTCATCATCTTTGTTTTTTTTGTTGGTTTTCTGTTTTTTTTTTTTTTTCCAGAAAATGTCAGCTTACTGTTCAAGTTGTACTGCCTCACAGTGATGACCCTGGTTGCTGCAACATATACGGTCGCGTTGCGGTACACAAGGACAGTAGAGACAGAACTGTACTTCTCAACAACAGCTGTGTGCATCACTGAAGTTATCAAATTGTTCTTGAGTGTGGGCATCTTGGCTAAGTAAGTAATGGGAATGCTAATCAGTGTTTTGAAAACAAATCCCAGCTTCTAACCTCAGATTCTCAGATACCGAAGTAGAGCTACATTTGAGAATGTGGCTGGATAGTCATGCTGCTGGAAGAATCCTTTTAAAGCGGGTTAGAGCTTGTGAGTCCTCCTCAACTGAAACTGCTTTGTAAACACCACAGTGTTCAGGTGTGTCCTTTCTGCATATTTTCCATTTCTGTATGCTTTGGAATAGGTTGAAAATGTCAGCATGGATTATCTGCCATGTTTTGGGTCTTTAAAGTATCAGTGTAGATAAAAACTGGACTGTGAGCCGTGGGCTACTGAGTTACATAAAATTGTAACGTTCCTACTCATAAATTTTCCCAGACAGTGCTACAGGCAGACATGTTGCTGTCTATTTAACGTGGGGAATCAAAGCTGAAAGGCTGTGTGGTCAGAAAATACGAGTTTCTGTAATCCCGGACTAATGCTAGGAACTAGAACTTTAGTCCACACGTGAGCATCTGAAGTAGGGAGGCCATCAATCTGCTGTCTTTCGTCTTGGTTTCCCTGTGCTACGTCCTTGGAAGAATCTTTATACTTTAGACTTTTCCAAAGCCCAGTTCTTGCTGGTTTGGTAGAATTTGTTATTTTAGGGTCTCTGCCTCTCTCGTTGTGGCTTTTGGTACATCAGAAGGCTGGCTGTTTGTGCTAGAGGATCGTGAAGTCACATGGTGTACTTCAGATTTTTATCAGATCTTTTCTACTTAACATCAAAATGGCATTTTACTTGCTTTAGAAATGAGACAATATTTGAATTTGGTAAGGCAGCTGTGGCAAACTGCCTTTTGTTTAACCTTTCATTAAATGTAAAGTGTTACAAAAGGCAGATGTGGCTGGTGGCAGATTTCTATTTCTCTTTTTGTGCAGCCTGGGCTTCTCGCTCTGCCAGCACAAAATATTGGCAGAAGCGTCTCTGCAGACGAGTGATTGCGCTGTGGTTCTCACAGTGTTGTGGCCAGTGTGGATCCTGATCCAGCCTGCTTCCTGGAGCCTGCAGCAGCCCACGTTTCTCAATAGAGAGGGACCTGTGGGTGGCCTCAGCTGTGTGTATCGTTTCTCAAATCCGTTCTTGTGCACCTGGGACCCAGGCTGTTTGTACTATGCCAGAGAGGCCTCGTTCGGCAGAGTGAGCAATCTGCCTTTTGTTCAGGGTTGGTAATACTGTGTTCATTAAAAGTATGAATGGTCTTTTTGCTTGAAATAATTAAAATGGCAATTACTTTTAACTCAGAAGTCTATTATGTTTTTAGAACAGCCCTGCACAGTCAAAAATCCATGGAGCCCGTTGTCCTCCCTTTGACAGTCGTCAGCAGGGGATGCTTCGAACAGAAGCATAGGCCATAGGGCAAGCATGGACTGAACTTTCTTTAGCTGGTGGCAGAAGCGTATGGATTTCCCAGCCTGGAGGCTGTGTGCACACTGTGGCTGTGGCCCCTAACGATCCTGTCCTCTCTGAGATTGCCCAGTTTCTTTTTGAACCATTAGTTCCTGCTGTACCTGGGAAATTACTTCTGCAATATAATTACACAGTGTATGGAAAAAGTACTTTTTAATAAACACTTTATCAGTTTCACCGAATTCTGTCTTCTTGTGTTGACAGACATAATGAATAATTTTTTCCTCCTTTGTTTTTATTTTCCTGTCTCTACAGATCTGTATGGTGTTTCCATCACTCATTTATTTTCTAAGCTGGGAGTCCTAGTCTAATTTTTCTGTGATCATCCCAGTACCCACCTCCACAGCATTTCCAGTATTGTTACATCCCTTTTGAAACAGGATCCTGAGCTGCATGCAGCATTCAGGATGTGAACATGCTGTGGCATTAGGCAGAGGGGTGAAGGTGCTTTCTGTCTTGGTCTCGGTTCCTCTCCTAAGGATCCGTCACGTTCTGCTCGTTTCTCTGAAGACAGCTGAGCCTTGAGCTGGCGCTGGCACAGAGCTACTCGCATCTTTTTCCCAAATGCCCGTAACTCGTTTAGAGATGGTTGCTCTATTTTGAGGTTGTCATTTCCTGTGAATCTTTCTCATTTATCTACAGCTGAGCTTTATTTGCTAATTGAAATGGGATGAATCTGATTCACTGAGCTGTTTGAAGGTTCGGTTATAATATCTATTCCAATCTGCTCAGCTAGTGGGTTTTTTTCTCCGTAGTTGAGAGAGAGGTGGGCACCAGCGGCCACTATTCACCAGGCCGTCCTCACCTCTTTTTGGTAGGACATCTCCCTTGCTGCTGGGTCCAGATGGGTGCCCTTGCTGTCCAGATAACTGAGCTGTTTCTGAGATGACAAAAGATCTGGTGAATTCTGATCAGCATAGTGAGAGACTCTTTGGAAACTATTGCAAGTTTCCTTTTGGATATCACATATAATTGAGTGTAATCTGCAAAATTTGCCAATTTCCTAGTAATCTCCCATTTCAGATCAGTTAGGAATATGCTGAACATAAATTCCAGCATAGTTTCCTTCAATGTCTCCTTTACAGCTTCCTCCAGTTTTAAAGTCCTAACCAATTTGTCTCACCCAAGGCACGGTGCCTTTGTAGTTGAATAACCACTTAGAAGGTAGAATACAATCTGTTTTTTCTGTACAGCGGGATATATTTGGCTGGGTACCTCTTTATTTTTGAAACAGCCAGCATTGATTACTGCAATATAGAGGATACTGGAGTATGACTCTCACATTGTTCCAGCTGTGAAATTTGTTTTCTTACACATTCTTATGCTATGCCTTCGCAGTGTTTACTTTTAAGGTTTCTCCTGGAAGACACATTGAATGGATGAATGCCAAAAGATTGTCTTTCAAAAGAGAAGTTTAGGATAGTTTAAACTGTGTTAATGGTTTACTCAACCATATTCCCTAGTTCTCATATTTATTTAACGTCCAATTCACCATCTGGTAATTACACTGCCTACATTCTTAGATGGTACATAATTACTTAGCAGTGGATGAAGAAAAGTAGATCTGATTTGCAAACTCTAGTTTTAACTTCAGCTTTTCTAAAAAATGCATGTTTCTGTTGCAGAACTGATTGTTATTAGTACCTCTCACCTATTCAGACCTCTGAAGAAAACAGAATATGGTTTTTAAGTCGAATCTAGATCAAGAACGCTGAATTAAAGCTAGACAATTTTTTGTTTTCTTATTTGATTTTACAGTGTATATCTTTGTGCACCTTATTTTGCATTATCAGCTATACACAAAGGCTTGTTTTCAGTTCTTCTTTGTGTAGATTTAGATCTGTCTCCACGTGATCTTCATCCTGAATTCATCTTACAGTTAGACATTCTTGATAAGTGTGTGCTTCAGAAAGCACACCCACTGCAAAGATGGACTATTAGATATTTCATCTTCTTGTTCTCAAAAACTGAAGTGAAAGTGGTGCTTCCTGGACATCTGTTACCCTTCATTGCTGAAATTCCATGCTAGAAGTCAAAGTAGACAGAAACTACTATTACTGCTGTGTTTTGCCTTTTAAACATGTGATCAGTTAATTCACTGAGCATGGTCTGGAACAGAAGCAGGTATACTTTAAATATTACTTACTTGTTTGACAGCCCATCTTAATATCGACAAATAGAAGAAGCCATTACTGTGTGGTATTGTTTGACTTCCTATTCTCACAGAATAGAACTGTATCTGTGCTAATTATATTTTATTTGCAGTTAGACCTTTGAGATAGAAGTGCTTTAGTCCAGCTGTACCTGGGTGTAACCAGGAACTCTAGGTTTTCTTGTACATCTTATCTCCAAATGCTGGGCAATGTAATAAATACGTTGAGGAACAAGTAAATCAACAGTTTTGCCTATAATGTCAATGCCTCGTAATGTTTTATGCAGTTCTGTATTGAGGGCAATTAACTGTGGTGAGCTGTAGCACGAACTCTTCCCCTTCCGTGTATTGCAAATTTGGCTTTAAATGCTGCCTGTCTATAGATTTTCATGTCAATGGTTGTCCCTTGTGGCCAGATGTGTCTTGCAAAAGACACCTATGTGACATGCTCAGTGCCACCAAGTCTGTCCCAAGCAAAGTATCCCCTTAAGTTAGGAGAGAGCTTTGCATGTGACCTCGCTTGTACAACAAGAGTGGGGGAAACCATACTCACCTCTGTTTGGTAACTGCATTGCCCTTGACACTGGTTTTTTGTGTGTGCTCTCTGTTACGGGAAAATGACAAAAAGAATCCCTTGCAGCCGCCTGTGTAAGGACTGCTCTCACTACAGAAAAAAAAAAGGAGAAAAAGAGGTATGTGCTTGGTGCCAGGCAGGGAGGAGAGCAGCTTGGATGGAAGGATCATGAGAGGTTAGAGTCCATAAATCTTTGGAGACGAAAAGTTTAAGAACCTGGAGCACAGAGTCAGGGGTTGATCAAGAATGGAAAATATGCAAGAACAAGGTGGTTAATGAGGAGCCTGGGGCATAGAGAGATTTCTAATTTTGGTAATTGCTAGTAAGAGTTTGGGGCAGGAAGGTGATGTACATCTGTGGAAAAGGAAGAAGTTGGGACATGGGTGAAATGTGAGGAACTGGGTTCCTGGAGCACTGAGGAGGATGTGAGCCATTTGTGTAATGCCTGTGTAATGGAAGCAAAAAGAGTGTTAAATTCAAGAGCAATACAGGTTGCAAGTTGAGAGGCCTGGGGGATGGGAGCGGTTTTGGATGTTGGTATTTGTCAGTGGCCAAGCGAGAGCAGAATGGGAAGGAGGAACATGGGACTTGGAGAGAGCTGGGAGGGGAACTGGAGGACTCGAGTAGCAGCGACGAGTAAGTGAGAAATGTCAGATTAATGTACAAACGATAAGGGAGAGCTAGCAATGCAGAGGTCAGCTTTAATAAGCTGAGGAGCAAGCTGCAGAAGGGGACAGGAGTGAGAAACAATGCGTTCTTCCCCACTGCCTGCTCTTGCACACGTGGTCATTACCTGCAGGAGATGTGTGAAGCTGCGAAGTGGCATGGAGCCGACACACGCCCCGCCGGACCTCTTCACCTGTGTGCTGGTGCCAGTCTGGCATCTCCCGCAGCACAAGCGAGAAGAGGAACCCAGGGCTGGCTGAGGAATGAGAGGTGTTTCCGGCTCAGTAGTGTGCAAGGCTGCAATCTTTTTTGGCTGTACTGTGAGCCCCAGCTTAAAGGGGATCTGGAAAATCATGGGCATTTGACATCACACACAAATATTAATAGCAACAAAAAAAAAAAAAAAGGGTGAGGACAATGACAACAGCCTTCTGTCCCAGTGCCTGTATACTTAGTGACTTACACAGTGTTCGTGGTTGTTGTTTAATCTGTTACACATTAATGCATCTAACCTCCTGATTCCAGAATGTCTTCTTCACCTTCAGGGGTTTCAACTTGTTGATGACCTCACTGCTTTTTCCCAGTTAATTTTTCTTGAGTGAGCAGAAGGTACAACTGATTGTTGAGAAGAAATTTTCAGCCTTCCCGAAGGAGTCATTGATTTGGTTTCTGTTTTCAAATTACCAGTTACATTAATATTTTATTTTGCAGAGAAACTGGAAGTCTGGCAAGGTTAATAACATCTTTAAAAGAAAATGTATTTGGAAGTCCTACAGAATTGCTAAAATTAAGTGTTCCATCTTTGGTGTATGCTCTCCAAAACAATATGGCATTTGTGGCTCTTAGCAACTTGGATGCGGCAGTCTACCAGGTAATACACGTTTTTGTCAGTGGCCGATCTGTAAATAGATTTCTCTTTACTGTTCCATGAGGCGTACGTGCTAGGTGTCTGCCTAGCACGCAGTACTCTCTCTAGCCTCAGTGTTAAAAGCCAGATGATGCTTTGTTATTTTCAGAGCGTACGCTCTGTTGCAGAGCTCTGGTTTTCTGAGTTAACCCGCTCGCTGCCAGAGTCACTTCAAATTCACTTTGTTGTAATTGGTGATGGTACAAAAACCCAAGGATCTGTAGGAAATCAATGAATATAAAATTTTATCTGTCTTTCTGTAGTTTAATTTGGGTTACAGAGTAGTTCATAAAACCACATCCTCTACACTATATTCCCATCTTCTTTAGGTGACATACCAGTTGAAGATCCCTTGTACAGCTCTATGTACAGTCCTAATGCTAAACCGTACCCTTAGTAAGTTGCAGTGGTTCTCTGTCTTCACGCTGTGCGGTGGTGTTACCCTTGTTCAGTGGAAGCCTGCTCAGGCTACGAAAGTACAGGTAAGAGTTTACATTTTGCCACGTCACGATGAAGAAAAAACTGCCTTATACTTTGTGTTTCACTTCACAGCAGCTGGGATTAAGGTAAGGTCTCTTACATTCCGCACAGCAATATCCGTTTCCTATTTCCAGACACATCACCTACAACATAACCGCTAGTTTGATCGTTTGCTTTCACATTTATTATACACCAGTTCAGGCAGGCTTGCAGTATTGCTCCAGTCTCACTTGTTGGAAAGGCAGCCGATTGCTACAATTAGTAAGAATTACCACAGTCATCATAATCAGTCTGATGCATCATCATAGGAGTATCTGAGTAATACAGTGCTTCCAGCAGTTGGCCCTGGTATCGTTGTAATTGTTGGAGCAGAGAACTTGGAATCAAAGCACTCGGTGGAATTAGGTGGGAAGCTGCAATGCCTTGCGCGTGTGGGAATGTCATTTAAACACACCCTTCGCTGGCGCTGACCTAATCCCGTTCTAAGAAGAAACAAGCATCTTCCGTTTCTTAGGTCTTAGCTGCTGGTTAGTGGCATTAGTGGGAAAGGCAGGTCGTGCAGCTGGGAAGACTGGCCACAGCCAAACAGACGGTGCCTGAACACTGCAGGGTTTGGTAGGAGCACACATGGAAAGTGAAACACCACACAGCTACACCAAGCTAAGCTGAAGGGCAGCTCTAGCTAAGCAAGTACATTTTTATACTGTAATGAAGTGCTAATAATTTTGCTGTACTTAACAAAGTAGTTCTGGAATTGATTACTGTAAATTACTGAAGTGTTGCATCCTTTTTAAAATACCGGTTCATGTTGCAGGTGGAGCAGAATCCATGGCTAGGGTTTGGAGCGATTGCTGTTGCTGTATTGTGTTCAGGATTTGCAGGTATAGTATTATTTCCATACGCAGGTCACAGCAAAAGGACTGGAGAACTCATGATGTTTGAAACAGAACGTTCTGATTAGTTAACTGTCTTCGTTGAGCAGACGATAAAAAAGGACTTTATCCCCTCTGCCCATAATTACCTTCTACTTGCAGTAATTATGGCAGATTTCTGACATGATTACTCCAGTTGCCAAGCAAAAGACTAGGAACACGTACTATTGGTTTTACGTGATGCAACTTTGAAGGCTGGTTTGCAAATGGAAGTGTCTTTCAAATGCTTAGAATAATACTGTAGGGAACATCCATAATGACTCCTTCAGTACAATTAATTAATGTAGATCAGTTTTATAAAGGTGGCTTTACAGTGAATAGCTCCCTTATGGTGATCCCATTAAATGCGTTTTTTTATAAGGAGAACTGAGCTCCTCACTCAGTTCTTGTGCTAGCTCAGCCCTGAAATACACATTGCCGTAGTCCTGTAGGTGGTAAATCTAACTGAGATGGAGGGGGAGCATGAGTAAGGCAGAGAGGACAATGAGCAGTGGGAAGCCTAGATAAACCACATGAAGGAATTTTGGTTTTATTTGGCTTTGTTTGGTTTTTGTTCTACAACCAGTATTTCCCCTCAGAGTAGTTTTTCTCTGGCTTCTGCAGAAGGAGACCAGAACCTGAGGTCAAAGTGAGCTGGTGCTGAGAAATAAGGAAATGCAAATTACTACTTTGAAATTACTACTTGAAATTTGGCTCACAGGGTCGTATTTCCCTGGCTGTAAACTGGATTCTTCCCCCTCCTTCTGTAGGAAAACAAGGTACTATCACCCACCTCGAGTACCATACAATCCTGCCTGCAAGAATAATGTTGTGCTGTGCATAGATGCTTGCTACTCAAGGAAAACATTCTGGTTGGCTGCGGAGGAAAGGTAGAGTAGAGGGTGTCGTTCTTGTTTGGTGTCTTTTCAGTGAAATGGACACTTTGAAGCAGAAATAGTAAGACTCTGTAGAGTTCAATCAACTTTTCCTGGAAGGTTGTAAATTTACTCATTTCAATAGATGCTCCCAAGCCACGGGACAAAATACAGGAATCACAGTGAAGCCTTCAGGGTCTCCTAAAGCTCTCTAGCTTTCTCTGATAACGTGGGCAGATAGTGTGCTTCTGAAGGTCTGCAAATTCAGACCATTGAAAGGGCTGATGCAGGCAGTTCTAGAGGATTTAGACACATACGGCTTGCTTCTGCAGAAGGATTGCAGCTTGGGTGTTTCCTCCCTGACAGCTGTAGCTTTGAGGCAGCAGGGAGGACAGAGTATTTCATCTGCGGAACTCCTTGTGCCCTTGGGACTTTACATGTCGAACACATAATCCCTATTTGAACTCCTTGCCTCCTCTTCCTTCCCACGCCCACATGAAGAAGTTATTTTGGCATTAAACCTTCAGTTCCCGGACTGACCATGTGAAGAGTTTTATATTATTCCAGCAAAGTCAAAAAAGTTAGGTGTGTTTGTCCCTTAGAGGTGGAAAAGAAGTTTCTTCCTCAAACTGCTGATCCTATGATAATTTCCAAGTATCCAGGGGCCCAATAATGCTTATAAAAGCATTGGACAAACCTGTAATGGCAGATCCTTTGTGAATTGAAACAGTACTGAGGAGTAATTTCTTCTAAACAGCACCCACTCCTTCCTTCGTCTTGCCTAGTGATTTTTATGCATTTTCAGAAATCTGAAAGCATAGTTTCATTGGTTTGCGTACTCTTTTCTTAGTTTATAAAATTTACAAGTATGGTTCATACTCAAGCCAAATTTCCGGTACATTGATTACATCTGGTTGTGCTCTGTGGGTCTTCTCAGCAGGCAGAAATCTCAAGATAGATTACAGTGGGTTCTTTTAAGCACTGCAGTCATTAACAATACTATTTTTTTGTTGATGTTGTTTAGACTTCAAAAATACGTATTCATATAAGATAATATCATATTTCCTTGTTTTTTTAATTCTTTGAATCCCTGAAATAGAAATCTGTTCTCTAATTTTTTCACCATAAATATTGACTATATTGTATTAAATTATAAATTGCATTTTTCCTTAATAAAAGAGTAGCAAGACCTTCCTTGAAGCTAACTCAGGGATTTCAAGAGTGTGCCCAGGGCTTCTAACCCACAGGTCTTTTCTCTGTGCCCATCTTTGTCAGTTCCGTATACTTTTCTCATATAATATGAAGGATCTTGGGTGACATCAATCAGCAATAAACTTCTTGTCAGTAGGGCTCACACCAGAAGGTCACGGAAGTGGCTGAGAATATCTGAGTCCTGCAAACACTTTGAAATGTGGAGGCAATTCCGGATATTAGCAGAGTCCTCGTGTGGGAGCAATGGTTAAAAAGGCAGGTAGTGATGGGCTTGTCAAATGTCGGCCTTTTAGTCTGACATACACTACCTGGGTAGAATAATGAAAAAGTATTTGGGGAATTTCAGTAATGGCAGACCCTAAAAGTAATGCTCATCAGCGTGGCACTGCGACCGAGAGCTCTAGATGAAAATGAATTCCATTTCCTCAAAACCAATCTGAAGTTTCAATTAGCACAAGGCATTGGTTTTGGTTTGCTTGTGTAATCCCCTGAAGCTGTGGTTTCAGAATGTCGCCACTCTGCCAAGTACTCTGTGAGCACAAGGCTTCCGAGGAATTTTCAGTCTTAGTACTGAGGTAATACAGTTCCACCCCTGTTTTTAATTTTTTACTGCTAAGTATCTCAGTGGAAGGGGGCGTGGAAAAGTCCTACATCATGCTAAAATACATAAATACTGTCCTGGGGATAAAATACCAGGTGCCAAGGTGAAATGTGTTTTTCTTCTGGTGTAGAGTGGTACAGAAGAAACTCTGCTGGACAGAAGCCAGGCAAACCAACTGGAAACGAGGAGTATTTCAGGTGTCGATGAGGTTCATTGTTACAACAACTGTAAAGAGAACCAGAACCTATTTTTGATGTTATGTACCCATTAAAATGATCCTGTCCTGGAAGACACACATTAGCAGGATGTGGTGTTGGGTCCCTGGCATTGGGAACTTCTGTGACATTTAACAGTCTGTAGGACAAGATGATGGCAGTAGTCTTGTCTGGCTCTAAAACACCGTGAACCATGGCTCATTAAGGATGACACTTCATCTCACTGAAACCTTTTGTTTCTTTCTTTGTTTTTAGGAGTTTATTTTGAGAAGGTCTTAAAGAGTTCAGATACTTCCTTGTGGGTGAGGAATATTCAGATGTACTTATCTGGGATTGTGGTGACTTTATTTGGTGTGTACATGTCAGATGGAGCCCAAGTTCTTGAGAAAGGGTTTTTCTATGGCTATACATACTACGTCTGGTTTGTCATCTGTAAGTATTGTGTGGATTGGTTTTTTAATTTTTTTTTTACTGTGCTTTGAGGGATTTTATTTAAAAGTGTAATTTTCTTGGAAATTATTCACTTGCCCAATTTAAAATCGTGCTGAAACAGCAGTCTAAATAACTGAGTACTGAATAGATCATCTTTAAATGAGTCGTATCTAATCTACTAGATGCTACACAGACATCCCATTTTGCTGAATGTTGCGTTAAATCACCAATTAGGAGGATGTAGCCCAAACAAGGAGTACACTAATAGAGTAAAATGCATCACTTCAAGAGTAACTTATTGCACCTTTACTAACAGAAACATGTTACCTGCTTTCCAGTTCTCGCCAGCGTAGGTGGCCTCTACACTTCAGTGGTTGTGAAGTACACAGACAACATCATGAAAGGCTTTTCTGCAGCAGCAGCCATTGTTCTTTCGACTGCGGCATCAGTCATCCTCTTCGGCCTCCAGCTAAGTGCGTGCCTTTTTGCCATTTGATTTGACCATACATGCATGTTCCCTTCCTGGCTAGCAGGCCCTGTGCAGTTCATATATTTGCACCTCCTCTGAATTTTTCTGGTTTTAACTCAAGTCTTTTCCAGGATGCCTATAAGCCAATGCATAATCTGTGTTGTCTTACAGAAGGTGCCTGATGATCCTGTGCTTTCGCAGGCATTCACGGTTTGTTCTTTCAGAGGCATCCTATGACCTCAAAGGGAAAGGTTCTTTCTGATTTAAACAGCCTATGAGTTTATACGGCTTTATTCATTAATCACTTTCTGATGCAGTTTAGTGTGTGATATTGCCGTTTACCCGAGACCGCTGTTGATAAGTTATCATTTCTTGTTGGTTTTATCCCAGCCAGTGCCAAATGAATTCCTCAGCTATTTCTGCAACATGGTAGCGGGTAAAACTTAACTTTTGCCTTCCCTTGCTGTGGCCAACACCACCTGAGAGCAAGTCAAACAGCAGGTGGGGACATGACTGATGTGGTGAATATTTTTGAGAGGAAACTGCAGCTTGCTTTGGGCTGTCCTGCAACTACAAAGGATTCTCTCCCTGATCAGTTCTGTCTCTTATGCCAAATCCAGTAGTTCCTGCTCAGTCCTTCACTGTTTGGTTTTGAGGATTTTTTTTTTCTACTTTCCTACCATAATCCGAAGACGGTATGGTGTGATGGTGGAAAAACTAGCTTCCCAATGTGGCATTAGTGAGATGAAACTTAAGGGAAGTTTGCAGACAGAGAAAATCATCAGTGTTTGGCTGAAAAACACTAGTTTTAAAAACTCACCTGGGCAGAAAATTTTCTTGATAGTTGACACAAATCAAACCTGGACTGGTGATCTTTCTGTGAAAGCCTCATCAATAGTGTTTCTCAACCCTGTCTAGAAGTGGAAAGGCAAACAAAATGTCTTATCACAGGCTACTTTATCCCATCCACTGTGTCTTTATCGTTAAGCTTATTGTAAAGCAAGCCTGCCAGGTGGCATCTGGAACTACAGGAGATGTCTCACACTTGCTTTTCTGACCATCACCACATTCTTGCTGATATACGACTAACTGAAATGGTGTGGGGATTGTAAACACTCAAGAGATCTCAGTGACAGAGAATGATTCTAGGTTCTGTGAATTATTACCAGCTTGTGGTCCTGTTTAGTTTTGAGTAATTTTAATACTGTCATTCAGATATCATCTAACTTAGATAGCTTAGTCTTCTGAAGGTTTCTTCTTACATGGAGGTGTTTAAGTGAACTATTTTTGTCTCCTTTCAGCTGTTACCTTCTCCCTGGGTGCCCTCCTGGTGTGTGTTTCTATTTACCTCTATGGATTACCTCGACAAGACACCACAAAAATCCAGCCGTCAGAGACTAAGAGCTCAAAAGAGAGACTTGCTACGGTGTGACATTGTCCATAAAAATGGACAGACAAGAGGAAAAATGGACTTTAAAAAAACGCTGCATTTTTTTAAAATTAGCCTTAAGCTAGTCATGAAACTGTTCAAGTAGGATAGACTAAAAGCAGAAGTTAGTTCTGTTTTACATGTGAAGTTTCCAGTGGCTGATGCTGAGGCTGCATGACGGCCGAGGAGCTGGACGGGTGTTTTATTGAAGGCATTCTTCAGCCACATCGGACAATGATGAGTCCCATTTACAGGGAAAGCAGAATGAAGGAACTGAACACTCAATTGTATATAATGTATATAATGGAGGGAAATCGGTTCTTTGTGTATTTGATAAACTGTCTTGCCCTTTGAGGGCAGAAATGCCCAAACACTTCATAAAAATAAATCAAAAGGAGGAATTACTGCCAGCATTTTCTCTTAAACTAGTTAGCAATTGCAGTTTGATTAATGACAGGAAAAGCTTCTCTTCTAGGTGATGCATATGAGATGAAGAGAGTACTTCTCCTGTGTTTTTATAATGAATTAATAGTATTTTTTTTCCTTCCATGCAATCTAGTCTTGCATGTCCTGACACAACTCCACCAGGAGTAAGCACACCTCAAGCACCACTTCCCTCTAAGTGATTAGAAGTGGCACTTGCTTTTTGGTTTAAAAAATCAGAATGAAAGATTGGTGTTTCTCTTATGTTGCAGAATTTCTTTCTTTCACTTTTCAAATGTTTTTTATACCTGCGGTAGCTGGTAAGAGGGATCTTTTATTCTATTCTATGTGTTTTGTCAAACCCCAGTCGTACAGGGGAAGGTTCGTATGTCGTCTTCTATCTCTGGCTTAAGAATGAATGAGTCAACTCTACGTGTCAGACCAGAAGATTTTTATCTGTACATTTTATCTCTCAAACTTTCTGTGCATAACAGAGTGATGCTTGAAAAAGAGTTCCTGTAACATGTTAGGCTTTGATTTATGAGTGCCAACTCTGTAACTTCAACCTACTCCATTTTCTGAGGCCTGCCTCAGTTCAACCCTTCCAGAAACTGCAACTCTGCATTGAGGGAAAACTGACCTTGGTGCTTTAAGCAACTTGTTTACATTCAAAGTGGAGTCAAAAATGTGACCAAGTTTATATCCTGATTAGATTCCTTTCAGATGTTGAGTTAACCAGTTGGGTTTTACTTGAAAATGGGGCATGTTAAACACAGCAGTAACAAACATGCTTCAATTCTGTTCCAGTGGGAGAGCGTTCTCCGCTCTGCCTTTTGCCAGCTGTCCTGTGTATGTAGAACAGCGTGCCACCAGAGTGATGGCCTGGTGGTTGTGGGTACTGAGGCATTTCAGAGGCTGGAACAGCCACCTGTGCTACCTTACCCATGACACTCCACCTCTCTGCAGCAGCGTGATGGCTCAGGAGTGCCAAGCAGCGCCTGCCATGTCTGACCACGTGTACGGTGCTGAGGGAGCACCCCGGTTCCTATTCCACCAGCTGAGCAGCAAACCCTCTGCTCCCTGGTCATCATGTCGGTGTGACAGAGGAATGGGTGAGGAACAGGATGTGACAGAGTTGGCAGGTTGCTGCGGTAAATTTACATGGTAAATACCAGGTAGATTAGTGTCTTAAGTCCACTACTCCTACCATGAGACTGGGAGAAAGCAATTGTGATAACCCTGGCCTCCTCCAAGGGGCTGGGCCATGCAAGCTCTTCTGCAGTCAGCATGATGGAACATAAAAACCTCCAAGAGCAGACAGTTGCCAGACTGCATTAGCAATGACACACAGGAGAGGATTTATATTCTCTTGAAAAAAATCCTTTTACTAAGAGATGTGACTTTGCATTGCATGCAGCCTCATTACATTTGAGTTACAGGTGTAATGCCAAGAAGTTTCATTCCATTGGCTAGAACCAAGCGTGCAGCTTGAAAGAGACGGAGCCTTGCCTGGAAAACAAGAATTGCTGTCAGCTTATGGTATTGCTACAGAATAGGGCATAGAATTCTCAGGGCAGCAGTTAGAAGCAGCCTTTTGGAGGTGACAATGCTGTGCACATCCTCTATCCCCATGCAGGGCTCTGGGATTCAGACACACACGTAATCGGAGGACTGAGTAACACACCAGTGCTAGCAGAATTCACACCAGCTGTTGATAGCCCATTGCAGTGTCAGCAGAGGGACACTTGTCAACAAAGAGAAGCTGGAAAGGGCTGCCCAGCCCAGTCTAGTATACCCTCAGGGCGGAGCGACTAGAGGAGATGCCTGCAAAAGAGCTAGCAATGACTAAAAAGTGAAAATCTTTTATGCACCACAGGCTGTTGCAGTCTGAGGATACTGCTGGAATCCCTCTCACTGTGCCTGGGTTAGAGACTGTCGAGAAACCATGGGCTGCTTTGAAAATTTCATTCTTCTTGTCTTAGCTGTTACACAGCTGGCTGTCTGAGAAGGGCTTTATCAACCTTAGTCCAAAAAAACAGTTCTTGAAAGGTGCCACACTGTAAGATATTTAGAAATACTTTTTCACGGGATAAGGAACTGAAATTTTACTTGTAGCTTGGACTTAGTGCATCTTCAAAGGCAAGAATACCTATAGCATCTAAGCTGAAATATAGAGTGCAGTTCCATCAATTCAATTCCACTGAATTTTTTTGCCCCACAACACAGGTCAACACTTCAATGTGATTTCCTACCAAAATCAGATAGGTAACTGCTTTTGAAGTAGATAGATAAAGGGGAAATAAAAAAAGCAGTATAATTACTGTATCATTTGCAGAGCAGTTAAGGGGTCAAACATTGCCTGGGGGAGCAGTAGAAAATCATCTGCATCTATCTGGAACTGCTTATTAACAGTTGTCAGCCTCAGTGCTTTAGCTAGAAAGGCAGTACAGACAACTTGAGATATGTAGGTGGCGAGAGGGAGGAAAGAAATTCAGTTATCTCCTAATTCTCTGTCTTCCCACATAACCACTAAGGGAAACTATCAGAAATAGCCAGCAAGTTAAATGCTCAAATGTTTACTTTTAAAAAGTTCAGAAGGAAAGGTGATGAGAAGGATTCGGAGCAGTTGTCCTTATGGGGCATTCAGCTTCAGGAAGATCAGGCAGAGCAGCCCTTTCCCGAAGGCACAGCCATGAAGAGCAACCCCTGCGTTCCCAAAGCGGTGCCGCCTGGCAGGATGGCCTGCAGGTGCATATTCACCCAAGTGGTTACACAGCTGGGTTGGCAAAGCCCTAATGGATCATTCCTATGGGACACCCAACACAGACTCCAGCCATGTAACAACACCGTCCCCCATACCTGGGCTAGTTCAGGGGCGCTGCCTTTCACAGGAAGGGTTTTATGTGCCACGGCTGCAAGATGGCTGAAATAGAAAATACGGTGAGAATAGTGAGAACGAGCAAGTCTCTTAACAAGAGCAGTGCTATGGGCTACAGAAAGCAGCAGAACTGGAAGAGCCACAACTGCAGCATGCCAGAGACTGTTATTTCCAACAGCCTCTTTCACTTGGCTGAGGGAGGGCATGGTTTTCTGTAGCCTGCATGTTGTCAGGACACGCCATCAACAACTTAATGCTCATTAAAAAAAAAAAAAAAAAGGCAAAAAAATCTCTCCATTCCTCCCCCCAAAAAACCCCCAAACTGGTCTGGAAAGATCCTTGAGAGCCTGCCCTATTGTTCCCAAAGTGCACGATTCCTTATACAATTTTCCTTAACTTGTTAAAAGCCTTCCCCATATGCAGGCTCTACAGCTTCCTCCAGCAAGAAACACTCCAGTGTTTCACTGTCCTGTTAAGTCACAGGGATCCCAAAGAGGACCCTCCCTACAGAGGTCACATACGCGACTGTATGACTTGTAGTAATAATATGCTTTGTCCACCTCAACACATAGGCTGAGATCAGTGGTTGAAAGGAGTTTGGATAAAATTTCCTAGGTGAAATTTTGAGATTTAAGAGCATATTATCAGTTCAAATCTGCTCTTTAAGATACGATTAGACCAGCATGACTTTGGGTTCAGCTGCTGGGTTACAGCCAAGTGATTCTTTTTTCTTGAAAGTAATCAGTTTCTGAGGAGGCTCCTGGCCTTGTTCCTGGTTCCAACCTCAATCTCTACTACTTATTATATTATTTGCTATCCTACTTCATACCTCTCCTGCTCCAGAGAGACTGTTCCACAAATTTACATCTTCCCACTATTTTTTACTCTTCAAAGCACTGTAAATGCAAGGGTTGCAGAGCCAGCTCAGGAAGACCTGTCCTTACTGGAGATGGATGCCAGTATCAGCAATCACCTTACCTAAGTGTGAGGAGGTAGCTGACAATGTGCTTGGGTTGCAGATCCTGAGAAGATCTATATAGGACCTCATCATACCTGTGAAGAAAGAAAAGGGTTGTTTGGAAGGTATACTTGGATATAAGGCTCATCAGACTTTCCTAAGTCAGAACAAACACACAACTACAGCTGCAGAATTAACAAAAATAATCTTCTGAACCAGACCTAAGCAATGTAGTTAGCACACAATTGAATATTTCTTTCTCGTTCATTATTGTTAAAAGGAGATTGCTTCTGCTCGTCATCATGCAAACATTGTAGATGGCAGAGCTCAGAGAGGCAGGCTATAGCAAGGAGAACACAAGAGCTATATTTGCTCCTGGAACATTATGTCTGCTTTTACATTTCAACACTAACTGCAAGTTCCTAGGAGCAGAAAACATATATTAAATAACCAAGGCAGTCAAAACAGTCCCCTTTAGTAAATGCAGCCTAGAATTTTAAGTAGCTAATGGGAATCTTGTAACATTAGAAAAGACAAAAACAAAGTGGGTTTACATAATCCTGGGATAAAATTGACTTATGTAAGACAGTATTAAACTGGACAATACAGGCAGATTCATGGAGATCCATGTTTTTTCTTCACGTGTTCTGCTGTCCACTTGTGCACATCCTCTTTTTCACAGCCTGCAAGAAGCTAACAACACTTCTGAGGCTGAAGAGATTTCAAATTCAAAGTGTGGAGTGGACTTCCTGGTCTTTGCTCAGCTCCCAGGCCCGTCCTCACCAGCATGTCCAAGTCAAGCTTCCCTGGGATCTTCCTTCTTTAAAGGCAAGCTGCAGGAGAACTGGGAAGTAAGCTCTGATAAGGAGGGCTCAGTGGTCATGTAAGAGCTATAGCACCAGGGAGGGAGTGTTCCCCATTCCCTTGGTGGTTAAGCTACCAAAACATCTCTTACACATGCATTCAGCAGCTCATCTCTGCCAGCACGTGCCGGTGGCCGCTGTTCAGAGAAGGTCACCACCTTTATGCCACTATGCAACAGATGTGAGAGAGCCAAATCAGGGGAATCTCTGCATTGTCTCAGGGACAGCTTAGATACCAGCAGCTGCTGGCACCTCAGAGACAGCAAC